CAGTCCGAATACAGCTTGATACCTTCAGCCCCACACAGAAAACCTTCTCCTAGCTCCGCAACGCTTCAAACATCCAACCATGCTGCCTTCCGCAGCTGCTGACTGTGTCCCGCTCAATACAGTTTGCAGTTACGGGTCTCCCATGGAGTCCATCTATGTGCGCTTGCCATCGTACCGGTTTCCTTGCAGGGAAATAAAATAAACACTAGGCCACCACCCGAACTCCGCGCAACCGCTTATGAACCACTTTATGGGCAGCAGGCCTTTCACGGGTATTCTTTCGCTGATGACCGGGTCGGTCGGAAACGAAGAGTTAAATTCAATTTAGCGATGTTTCAGAGCAGGCCGGGTTAGACTATCTTTCTTTCTTCCTTCTTCTCTCTCTGATCTAGCCACACGACCGAGCTGGCCGATGAGTCCGAATATCGGTGAGAATCAGAATCTTTGATAATTGGCTTTTGCGTTGACGTTTCGGTAAGACTTCAGCGAAGAGTGAAAGAGATTGAACAAAATGAAGTTCAGACCGGCCTGTGCTCGGTAAACTGGGCAACGACTACCCAACAGCAAGCAGGAAACGAAGCACACAACAAGAAAACACCACGCTTCTGTGTTCCTGTATTGAGAGAAGAACCCCCGACAGCATACCATATTAAACGGTTACTCACTCGGGTGGGGGCGGATCTCCAATCAGGTTAGCAAGAACCGCTGGTCACACTAACGGTCGCTCCGTTAACGATTCATGATGACCGTCAAGAGGGGCTGGATTGTCCTGTCTGTTATAGCCGATGTCCTTACGCCGAATTACCTGAAAGTGTGCATTTTCTGACCGAAAGTTGTTAGTACTTTGTTTAAGATCAGAATGTTCTATGTTTCACAGAAATATCTAAGGCGCACTTTCTTGTTATTCTCGGTTGTTTTTTTATGTGCGCACCTAATTCACCTAATACAATATTAGTTGTTCTCGTAAGAGCATTCCGCAGACAGAGCTTCGTGGCTGAAAACATTCTTTCTAATTGTGATGTTGTCAACAATTAGCTCTTACAAAGCAGAACAGCAACCCCATTGACTAACATAAGATGGCTGTAGGTTACACATAGAGCGGATGCATCTAGCTATACACTAACCGCTGGAGAGCCTATGGTCAATAAGCCACAAGCTTACATTTCGAGGTTTGACGATCAGACGACCCGCTAAGCTAGCTCCCTTTGATGTCTTTGACGTAGGATTGCATAGCAACCTTGTACCGCACTTCCACTTCGAGTCAGAGACGTTTCGACTAAGGAGCCGACTGCTCGACGACTACGGCATGTCGTGCTTTTGAATAACTAGCCGAAGATCCATGACTTGTCCTATACCTTCTATATGCTTGGATGACTTGCAATGAAACTGTCTGTAGCACAAGCCGATCAGTCGCAAGTGGGAAGAGTGACCAGCTAATCAGGTAACATATGTTGCGGCACATCTATGTGACTTAGAGTTTCGCGTACCACGTACAAGGATCCCCCATACATTGGCACAACAGAAATTTCCCCTGGTGGTCTCTTGACTACTGTTTTGCAAGAACTATTTACTCTTGACAGCGACTTGTGGATATATGTAGATCAATTTAACAGTGAATGCTGGGATAGAAACTAAAATTGCTTGCACTCGTTCTGCTGTGTGCGGTGGGCGCGGGTGAGCACCCACGATTGTCATTTGGCGAAACGCGGCTCGAGGTAGCCATCATCGACTACTCTAGTTTTCGTGTCGCCATCGGACACGACCTCCGGCCGACAATCGCAAACCTCCAACAATTGGACAACGATGTGCATCGGAACGAGAAGATAGAATTGCTCTTCCCATTGTCAGTAACAACAAAGTGGTTTGCAGTATCGATGGAACTGCCCGGTGTATCTACGGTGTTTTGTAGTAGATCGAGATGTGTGGTCTCTAGATGAGAGGAGAAAGCCAGAACTGCTTTTGGTAGATTTTCCAAACCGCAGCTTTACGAAAAGAATATCTATTGCTCCAGTAACATTCAAGTCGACCATATTCATTCCGCTGAATCTCCTTAGATCGTTTACTTCTTACACGTCACGCCAAGAGAAAATTGTGGTTTATACATCTTTGTTCATACGTGGCGAGTAGATCCATCGAAATACTGCCATTCTGGGGAAACAGGGGTTTCATATATTACTCTAATTTTTACATAAGACAGTACGTTTCAAGCAGTGATACGGCAATGCTGAGTCTGTTTCACAGTATACCCAATATGAATCCATTGTACTAAAAGTAATAGCGCTAAGTACGAAAGTATGTGAAAACGCTATTTAAGAAATCCGTTATATCAAGCCCGTTCTTTACACAACTAAACAATCCATAGTTTCTATTGCCGCCGCTTTCGTTAATTTAATTCAACCACCTAATTCTCAGACGGACCAGCTACTGTGGAACTACAGCCCGTAGCTATTGTACAGTGCATATAAAAGTCTTTTTAGCTACGACGTCGTCGGCCGTTAGTGGGCACCCAATACTAAATACCCCGCTGGGCGGCTTCGAATGTAAGTACCATCAGTGGGTGCCATCCGCATCGGTGTTCCCTGGCCGCCAAACCTGCTCCGGTAGTGAACACACTGGTTTCGACTATTTGAACCACACGACCCGCGAAAACTGACAACTGAACGATACGAGTGTACCTGAGCGTGCGTCGGAGCTCATCGGAGCGCAGCATGAGCTCGCTTTCAGCACAGCAGACAGAGCGATCAAATGTTCCAAGCTTCTATGTGTGTATCTCAATATTGCTGAAGAAGCCACTGCCATGATGATATCTGTGGATGACTGTGCCGTTCGGCATTGCAAATTCAGCAGTCCGCACAAGAATAGCGACATAACAACTGCCTCATGCCGGTATCGTTGTTGGTGGTCTTCTTTCAACAGACCGAAAATTATACCGCGGTTCACCCTTTGCACCCGCTCATTGGCTTAATGTGAATATCTACATTCAGCGACAGCAGATACCGCTGAGACAAATTGTCACTATAACTAAATGACAATGACCTAAGCGATTGGCTGTTTTTTAGGATATGAGCAAATGGTGTAACTTTCCCCACTGAACAATCCGTTGAGCATACGTCCTATAAAATTGAGATTGATGGCATATATATGGATTACGTATAAGGTTCTTGTGAATAGACTTGACTGGTCGAAATCTTCTATAGGGTTCCCGCACGTCTCGTATTGACTGATTCAGTGCTACTCACAAAGTGGCTGAAGAAGACCCTCGAAGCAACGAAGTCCGTAACGTTGACGGAAACGGTACCACTGGCGCCATCTGGCGTCCACCGTCGCAGACGTTATACGAAATGAACAAGCATACATCTCTAATAGTGATGCTGCACAATGACGCTGTATATAGTTCTATCTAAATAACTATATACAATATCCTTCTTACTATTTCCTCTGACGACAAGCTAACATAGGCAAGAGAAAGATGACCAATTAATATGTAAAGTAAGTTTCTGGATTGGGCCATCTGTTAATACTATTGAAGAATTTATCATAAGTAATGTACTGCTCGACGCATCAAGGCATGAATTAGGGATAGCACTAACTAACCGCCTGTCCCGGTATTCCACTTAAACTAGGATAATAACCTGCAACGCGACTTATTTGTTATGAAACGTTAAGTCAGATATCATTTTTTCCCAATGAAGGTTGTCTATGAGTGTCTTTGTTTTTTTTTTCAATTCAAAAGAGCAAACATGGTGTCAGATATCGATGATCTCAATTTACTAATATTTGTCAGCCATGAGTCAATAATACTTAATTTCTATTGTTTCGGTAGAGCTTGTGCAATCTATCCTATGGTCGATTTATGTCGTCTGCAATTTACAACTAATTAACTTTCTTTTGCAAATGATCGATTTACCACAAACTGCGATTAACAGCGTTTGCCCATCGAGATGTTTACATAATTAAAAGTGAGCGACTTATATCTATTGTATATTCTGCGGCTGTCCATGGCCGTATCCTGCAAGCAGGCACGAAGCCACGGGACTGCACTGCGTCTTGTGTTCGTGTACGGTATCAATGCGTCCCCAACACACCGTCCGTCCTCGGCCGAAGCCGGTCTGTGTCTGAGAACTAGACAGCACGAGCGTGCTGTGCGGCGCAAGCCATAGCAGGCTGGTTTCTTTGTTCTGGTGCTACCGAACTCTTCCCTTCAGACATCAGCTCGCCGCTGGCGCCGATCTCTTCTGCCCTCTCCACCAAGTCTGCATCGAAAAACGAACCACATTATAAACGTAAAGGAAAGCAGCATTAAGAACCACAACTGAAACACATACGCGCCCATCGCAGTCGCCGCCGCCGCCGCCGTCGGGCCGACAGACTCGCGCACGTCACGTCGCATAGACTAGCCATAGCATGGCGACAGTCAGCGGGCGCAGCCGAAAACGACGCTGCGGCCGCAAGTTCGCTGATGCTGACGGGCCAATCGTCGTCGCCGCTCCGCCCTTTTGACGACAGCTCCGCCCAGGTGAGGGCGCTGGCGTCGGCGAGCAGCGACATCGGGATTCACAATGCAGACGAATACGGAGTAAGCATAGAACGAAAAAAAAAAAAGTAATTTCTCTCTTACGCTCCAAGCGTCTCATTGCTCGCTGCAGCCAACAACAGCCAACGAGAATGAACGGTCGGGCAGCAGCAGCAGCCGCGGCGGCAGCTGCAGCTGGAGCCGTAGCGGCAGTGCCAGCCTGGACGAACTGAGCCCGGATGGACCGGCGGCGAACAGAGGCAGACCCGAGTAGCGTCGACTTGTGTCGTGTCCCATGGCCGGGCTGACGACTGTGAGTTGAATCGGGTTGAGCAGCAGCAGCAGCAGCAGCAGCAATCCAGAGCGAGCCGAGCGGCGGCTGCCGCAGCAGCAGCAGCAGCAGCAGCAGCAGCAGATAGAACAGAGACAGCACACAGACAAACACACGGTGATCACACAGACAGTCCGCACCCAGACAAACGCCCATACGCATCGAGAGTCGAGAGAGTCTCACTCACAATTGCATTCGTTCGTAGGTCGTCGCCGCCGCCGTCACCATCGCCATCGTCGTCGTCGTCGTAGTGGCGGCAGCCGCAGCAGCGCCCTGGCCGCGCCGCTCGCTCAGAGGGCTTGAAGAGCTCGCGGAGTTCGGTGCTACCCCATACGACACATCGACGACTGTGTTAGTTGTCCAACTGTGTGACTGTGCTGAATCCATCTGTGTCTCTGGGCTCGTTCTGCTGTAGGAGCTCTGACACAGAGATCGGATTGCTTCGACTACCACTACATATATCAACACTACAACCGGCACTGCAGTAAGAAGTAGTAGTCATCAGTGTCCTAGCGCCGTTCTGTGCAGTTCGCTCGGCATGCGTTACAACTACTCGTCGTTATTGCTGCAGTAGTAATGACTGATCGTGCGGCCAACCGCTAGGAAGTTGTACAGTCAGAGTGTACAGAGGAAAACGAAGTGGTGCTTGCGTGCGCTATATTACGTGCAACTAACAATGGCGGCAGAGTGCGACGATGACAAGTGAAGTACTTTGACAGAGACGAGTGATGAGTGAAAGGTGCGCGTCATCTGAAACAACAAATATACAGCTGTGTCTATCTATGCGTTTGTCCGTGCGCGTGTGTGTGTCGTATATGGGCCGGAGCATATAGATAGATAGTACACAGATATATGGTGTGCACGACTGTACGCACATACGGTGACGTCCAATGTACAGACGCTGTTACAAGTGCCAAAGGCCACACACGACGATGCCGCCTCCCGAAGTTACCTATAAGTTCACCGTTTTCCTAGCAGTAGCGGTGGCGTGTCTCTCATAGTACACAAACAACGGATAGCTGTCGCAAGTTCGTGAACTGAGGACGAAATTCGGAATCGAAACACAATCGTCCCATGGCTGTGCGCTTGTGATACACTGGGAAATTCAATGATTCATTATAGTGTAGCACTGCACGTCATCGATTCAATCACTGTAACCGTAACAAAGAAGATAACTGAGTCACCGCCAACTATAACTAGTGTCGTCAAAACAGCACCAGGCAATAGAAAAGAAAAAAAACTCAACTGTGGAAGTTGCAGTTCACCACAATTTTCGGACTACTGAGAATTATCATGTCTGAACAACGAGCTTCAAATTCCGTCTTCATTTGTCCACGACGTCGTATCCATGGACTTGTGTGTGCGTCGTTTATTCAAGTGTAATCATTGTAACATTCATCGTCTAGTCGTCCTGCCAAAATATAGCCCGATCTACAGCTTCCTGTTAATTCACAATTTTTACTTGCCCTTTCGACCACGTACGTCTCAATGTGACGTTGAACGTTGGGCGCCTGTGTGCTGCTAAAAAAACAGGCCATTTCTGAGAGGGTTTCTTTTTCAAGTTCAACTTAAGCCAGGACACGTTTGTATCTTTCCAGTATACATTATCCTTGAAGTTACACTGTTCATCCTTTCTCGCTATTTCTAACTCTAAGACAAGTGCGGAAACGTGGAGGAGAACCGAGTCTCGCTGCAGTGACGGTGTGTAGGATTAGCGGTAGCGGAACCCACTTGCCCGGGGACCACGTCGCTTGCTGGTCCAGGGCTATTCGCGCCCCTTGAACCCACCCCACTTTCAGCCTCGTGTGCACTCTTCTTCTTAGTTACACATACTCTCTATACTCTCATCGGCCATCGGCACATCGCGACATTGCATCTGACGGATTCGATCCCGTGGTCTGTCGAAATAAGAAACAGAACGAAACAGTGATCACAACAGCATCTCGCAGGTGCTTACTGCTCACGTATAGATCTTACGTGAAGTTCGCGTAGCTAACAGTAGTTGAAATCTATTTCTCGATTAGGGACGAAGTTCGCTTTAAAATACACCGCCATGTCGACCGATGTTCAACTGCCCGAAAACCTGTCAGGCTACACCTCACAACGTCAGCGCCCACACTCGGCTAATTCTGATGGATCTCGTTCGGGATCTCCGAACTCGCCATCGCCTAAGCCACCGACGCTGAATGCAAATAGTTTAGCGGCTTCGGCGCTCATGTTGCAAATGTACCCACATTTCCAGGACCGTCGGCTACTCGAAGAGCACCAATCGCCAGCTAATTTCAACGCGGCCGCACTCTGCGACCAATTCTGTAATGTGATCAATGGGTTCCGAGGCGGTGTGCCCAGCGGGTTTCAGGACCCGCGTAAATCGCCAGGCGTACCTTGCTCGAGGCCCTCCGTCGACGCCACGGAGTGCAGGCTTATCGACTATAGGGGGCAGCAGGTGGCCGCGTTTAACTATCAGGGTGACTACCTGCTATGTCTACCGCAGGCGTTTGAGCTATTCCTCAAGCACCTTGTAGGCGGTCTACACACCGTTTATGCCAAGCTCAAGCGATTAGGCATCAGTCCAATTGTGTGCAACGTCGAGCAGGTGCGTGTCCTCCGCGGTCTGGGTGCAATCCAGCCCGGGGTAAACCGCTGTAAATTGCTCGCCTGCAAGGACTTCGACGTCCTCTACAAGGACTGCACCACGGCGAGGTAAGTGACACAATCATAAACTAGAATTACTTTTCTGACAACTGTTTCTTTTCGATGATCGTCTTTATGTGAGCTTTAGTGTGGCAGACTGCCAACTAGTCAATCAGACAGTTAGCGATTTATAGTTTTTCGCTGAAAGTTGTCCCCGTGTACCTTCGACAGAATTGCCGTTATATGGTTGTTTGCCGTGCAAAAGACCAAGCACATTTGGTATACGCCTATGTATTACAATTTGTGGGAGCACGTCAATGATAGGTTTTGTCGGTTTGCCGTGATGATGGTGATCTTACCCGAGAAGAGCACCACTCCATCGAAAGTGAAATAAATATATTCATAACGTTTGTTCCGATCACTGGCTCGATCATCTATAAACACTGGCTGAACTGCTGCCGCATTTCATCCTAAGTGATCTGATCCCTGACCTCGTCTTTGAGGATGGCCCCTTAATTTTCCTATCGAATTTCGTCATAGCTACTATCGTTGTAATTGTTCGTATAACCTCCACACGTAGCTGTAAATAAACCCTCGTTTACAGTCCCAATTGACCCAATTCTTTCCTCTATTTATACTATAGAAGAAAGTGAAGTAGCAATCTTAGTTGAAACGGAGGTCGTAATAGAGATACGCAAGCGACAGTTGTGTTGAACTCTCGGACCGATCAGTGTATGATCGGTGATAAATTTAGCGTCATATACAGAGACAAACTATTTTCTGTAACCGGTAGAAGTTTGCCTCGATCAGGAGACACCTTTATATTACAGCAAACACAGTTTTGTATATATATAAATATAAACGAAACAACCGCTATAACAAACGCTAGACAGGCTTTCTTCAATACGGTAGATGCCCGCAAGGACGTTAGCGATGTATCAACAAATCAGACTGCCATGTAAAAGTTCTAACTGATCGGCAAACCGAACGCGCGAAACAATTCGATCGTTTGAACTTGTCTAGAAATCAAATTTACCGCCATACATTCGTGGGTTGATTTTGCAAGTCTTCTTTCTTGCTTTGTCTTCTAGAATCTCTGATGTTTCCTATGGTTGCTATTATGTTGTTATACCATTCTGGTTCGCTTTTGGGTTTGGCAGTCATATTTCTCCACTGTCAATACTACCGCTCCTGTTTCTACTCTGTTATGATGTTGTTGTATCATAATGTCGGTAGGGGTCGTGCTTAAATGTTGTTGTTCCAACCACTTCGTGATGATAATAGTGTTTGTTTCAGAGGCTCGCTGTAGTAAAAAGTCGGCCTTTCGGAAAATTTATAGGCTTTTGAGTTCCCCGCAGCCGCTTTCTGCCGTTTGCCACTGTTTCGCGAGCCCCGCCACCGCTGCCGTGACCATTACCGTCACCGTAGCTAGATAATGTTACTGACGCTCCGTGTGCTGCGCGAACGTGACAACGGCCAGCCAGCGATTTCGGTTGGCTACCGATTCGTTGTCGTTGTTGTCTGTGTAGCTAGCGAAAGCTAAGAAACTCGACACATGGATATAGGTGTGAATGTATGTTAACGGGCTTCTAGCTTTATGGGGGCCAAGACAGCTTCGCTGCCACTAATCCTATGTGTTGTTAGTACTGCTACTACAGTTATTGAATACGTTCCTCAAGTGACACGCTACTGTTACTTGCTGCAAATGTAGAAACGCGGTACGTTCACTTGCGGCATCCCTATGCCAGAGTAGGGCATGTTATAGCGGACCTGGTGTTTCGTTCTATATCCTTTTGTTGGGTGTATGTGCATGTGTCCCTACAGGATGATACCGCAGCTTCCAGTACCGTCCTGCCTTCTTGTTATCCGTTTTCGCTGTCGTCACAAATCGAAGTATTCCGCGTTTCACCAAACTGAGCGAGTACGCACGCGATAAAATGGACACAGCGTCATGTTGACCTACCGAAGGTCTTTCTATTCAACGTAGTCCCTTGATTTTTGAAAGAGTCGCGTCTCTAATTAGCACTCGCTATGGACGCCGAACTAAGACGAAGTCAGAAACACTGTCGACACGTTAACATGAATAATGACTATTACGGAAAGGATAAAAGAAAAAAGGGAAAAAGAAGAAAATTGGCTTCGTGAGCACACATGTTACCTGGCAAGGAGCGAGCGTATTTCTCGTTTTTCAGAGGTAGAAAGATCAAACTAGAACGATAAAAGGAAAACCTCAATGAAACAAATCACAAACGGCATCAGGGAAACGCAACTATGGCCTATTATAGCATATTCGATGTCCTATATGAATGACCAGGTCAAGTAGCTTTCGGAAGATATTTCGAACAGACAAGATAGATAGATAGATAGATTGACACAACAAATAACACACTCTCTCTTTACTTATATGGTAGATTCATTAGCATGCATGCCATAACGTGCTACGCAGTGGTAGCAAACAATGCTTTGTGACAGACTATCCATCTATCTCAATCATTTACAAAGAGCACGTTTCCCAGTCGATGCCGGTCAGACCCTGCAGAGACCCATTTGAAGGACACTGTCCAGGACAGAGCAAACGGATACATTTTTGGACGTGAAATGAATGTTATTGGGTTGTTCAATGAACGAGATGTACGTAGATGACTAGCCGTTTACCGATAAAAGAACAGTGCAGCGTCAAAGTATTCAAGTTCACATAGCATATTGCACAGTGGCATAAAGATGGGGTTTAGATGTTGGCCGGAATTGCCCAGTTTGGCTCTCTAAGAAGAATCAGTGAGAACTTCAGATAAATTCCGCACATAATATCAAATCTCTAATCGTTCATCACTATCCCATGTGGTCGACTTGTGATGCTGACTGAGAATAGGTGCATGCGCATATTCATTGGTGACGACGCGCATCCCTCTCTCGCTGTCTGTACATTTTGTACATCTACCATGCTCTCCAACGTTCTTCAAAATGATTATTACACAGAGAGAGGGACGGCTATGCCATCCTCAGGCTCGCATCATGTGAACTAAATACAAACGGGAGAGAGTGAGTGTAAAGGTAAGTCTAAGAGGGTAAACTTCATCCACAATATACATATATAGGCCTCTACATTGGCGTCTACATAACTATTGTATATAAATGTTGGAGTGTGTCTGCATACAGGGAGAGTATAGGGACTTCTGCGCCTACTTATCTATCGCTGCATGGCCAAAGTAATAGGATGGGTGAAGGGCCTCGATGCGGTAAAAACTTTAAAAAGTAGCTTCCCTTCTGCTTGAAAATGACAGACTACAAGGATCTTCACGGAGCAGCTCTAGCAAGCGATGCGCTACACGAGCACCGCTGGGGTGGCAGTGGCGGCGGTAACTTCGACGCGTTGAATATGTTCGATAAAACAGCTGCCGCTCCGATAGCGACCGGCGCTGCAGCTGTTCCTGGATTCTAAGAGTAGGTCCTGCCCGCTTCTTCTCACTCATTTCTGTACAGCAGCGCGGTACACCAACTATTGAAGGAAACAGTGCACCAGCATTTCAGTGTACGATAGCATCATTGTCATCGATGGGTTCTCGCAGTAACTATGTAAAACTGTTGAATCCGCTTTCATAGAGAAAATGGTTGTTTATTTCGTTGTACCATGTAATAATACAATCTACTTTCCCATTGTGTTTGGTGGGCTACAACGAGTGTCGAGACCAAGTTAGCTACGTTTGCCATTTGTCAGGTAAATCGGTAAAGTGGCTAGCGAAACTGTGGCCCGGCCTATAGACACGCCATAGGATTCTCAATCATAGTTCATCCAATACCTATAAATGCTTGCATATAGAGTATAAGTGTTTGTAAGTGCATGTGAGTGTGTGTGTGTGTGTGTGTGTTCGTACAGCGATGCTGTATTTTATGCAGTGTTTTTGTCATCAATACTCCTCCACCTTTCATTTCGACCTTTTCTTCTTCTTCTTCGACCTTCTTATATGGACCCATTGTGGGCAGGATTCACTCGCTCAGCGCTCTCCGCTTGCCCTGCGATTGGCTGGCTTTGTGGGTCGTTCTCGTCATCATCGTGTGTTGTTCAGTCGTCGGCCGAGAAGCGTCTAGTGTTTTGCTCTATCTAGGGCTGCAGTAGCGACCGCCGAGTGGTGGCGCTCTGGTCTTATAGCTGTTGCTAATGACGATGAAAATGATGATAATGACGGGTAACCTTAGACTAGCAAAAGTCTGGACTACTGCTAGTAACACTACAACAGAGCCGATTCAACGGCAGCAGCCGATCAACAACGGCGCGCGTTTGTTGGCCCTTAGGGCAGGGCTCGCCGGGAAGCGGATGAGCGGTTAAAGGATCTTCTCCGCTTTCTGAACATCGATATATGAATGTACCACTTTGCTCTGAACAGTAAGCGGTAACAACACTTCGCGAAAAAATAAAAAGAGGAACCTCCCGGAGAGAGCTCCTCATACAGATCCTCTATACGCTTCTCTTCGCTGGGTGCAACAACAAAGTTGGCTAAATCCCTCATTCACACATTTGGCTATAGGAGGCTGTTAGAAGACAGAATTGCAGGAAACGCTCCCCGGACATTATTCTTTACTGGTGCGGCAGAGAGAAAGCGAAAGATATAAAACTAAGTACGAATAATTTGAAGACAACTATTAGAATGACATCGTTGTTTCGCAATTGCTCAAAGCATCAACGAACGATTACCGCTTCATTCGGTTTGTAAGTTCCTTGAGATACGGGGGCACCACATCATAGACTCATAGAATAGCTTGCTCCCATTCCCCCTTGCGCAAAAATCAGGACGAACTAATTCAACAGTCATACCACTTCTGATATTTACCATACTTGGTGCAATATGTATATATATGTTCCGTATATAATTACTAAGAATATTATGTGCTCGGCCCAGTATGCTTGTGATCATCACCTTACTATTTCGCCGAATTTATTTTCTAGTTTGTCCTTTCTAACGGATTCCTAGGCGCTGAAGGGAGCCGCGTGGGTGGTTAGTCCATGTAGCTGATACGAATATCTCTCGTATGATCTATATGTACACCAGTGTCGCTAATCGTGCCGTTATCCA